TGCCGGTCCAACATTGTCCCCATGAGCATGTGTGCGCCCATGAGGAACCCTGGTAGCCATGCTAGCCATTAACCAGGGCCGCCCCGCAAGGGATGAAGGTCTAGGAGTGCCAAGGTTAGGCACCCAAGGAGGTCGACCACCCCTCCTCAAAGAGTACGTTAAGCTTTTGGTGGTTTGCCTGAAGATAACATCAATTCTCCCAAAAATCTTACAGGCAAAAATGACGGTGATGTCCCTAACGTAAGCCTGCCAAGTATAGGCAAGGTTAAGGCTGTGTCAGACCGTTATATGAACAAGGAGTTAAAGTTCTTTTGATAGATAACTAATAACGTTATTGGTTTATGGAAAAGGATAATATCTACATCTATGGTTACATCATCAAGGTTTGCCTAATGAAAGATTTCTCCCCTTCATTGAAAATCCCTTCTAATCTTATTGAATGAACATATGGCAAAACTACATCATAAAGGTTTGCCTAAAGTTATATGGCATATGAGTACTCACTTCTTCCCTCTCGAGAGGTATGTGCTTCTAGAAAAATGTTGAATGATTGCTTAGTTCAAAAGATTGAAAGCACAATAAAGGCATGAAGTATGAAAATATAACAATTTTGAGGTATGAATATCAACAAACTGATGGAATGATAGGGGAAAAACAATCTTCAACGAGAAATAAATTCATAAATCAAATAACAAAGCTTCAAAAGATTGGAAGAACCCTCTAAAATTGCATAAAGCGTAGTATGATAAAACATTTGGTATTCCAACACCCTTACTAGACATGTTTAAAATTTGAGCCAACATAACAGATAACATGTACAAATGGCATCATTGAATGACAAATGAGAAATACATGTTTTAGTATTAAGTATTTTGAATTCTAGAGAGGAAAATGATATTGTATGTGAAGTACTGAATAACTAGTGATCAGAATGTCACAAAAATGTCACAAAATCCATTGATCTCAAAGATCTACATGCACCTCATGGACTGCCCTTTTGCCCAATTTCCTAATATGGAAAAAAAGATTTCCTAATATGTCCATCCAATATTCACAGTGAATATGGAGTTAATAGTGAGCTTAGAGCACCATTAATAGAAATAACTGAAAGGAAACTTTTCAGCATAACAATTCAGATAGTAAACAGAATTACCCACACTTTGCTCATTTGCTGCCTCCATCCTGTTGCTTTTAACTCGTTGGGTTAGATTGATGGCACAATTAAGGTTGCAACTTGGGCCTGGTTAAGTTGGGTTGAGATCAATCCAAGGCAGAGGTTCCTCAACCCTATCCCAATCCAACCTATCTCAATCCAATGAACCCAACCCAACCATCAAATATGTAACCCTAACCCAAGTAGCACAATTTTCATAATGGGGTATCATCTAACCCTCATTCCATCATGTTTAACAGCATATCAATAGTACTTAAAGAAATCATATAAACATTGAATAGTACTTCAACTCAACTATATAGAGTTGGCCATAAACATCCAATAGTACTCAAAGATATTAATAGGTGCATATTTTTAAAGTAAAAGAAATTTCTTGTTTTCAAAGAAAAAGAAAAAGAACCTTTTTATTAAGATATAAGAAATACAAGGTCTGCAATTCTGGATATGGTGATAAGATGGCACCACAATCCAATAAGAAACTTACTAC